CCTGTAGTCCCAGCTACTTGGGAGGCGGAGGCAGGAGACTCGCTTGAGCCCAGGAGCTGGAGGTTGCTGTGAGCTGTAATGCCACGGCACTCTACCCAGGAGGACAGCTTGAGGCTCTGTCTCAAAAAAAAAAAAGAAAGAAATCCTTTTGCCTCAGCTTTTCTATTTTTAGTAGAAATGGAGTCTTTTTTTTTGGAGACAGAGTCTCGTTTTGTCACCCTCAGTAGAGTACTGTGGTGTCACTGCTCACATCAACCTCAAACTCTTGGGCTCAAGCATTCTTTTGCCTCAGCCTTCCAAGTAGCTGGGACTACAAGCACCTGCCACAACGCCTGTCTAGTTTTAAAGAGACTAGGTCTCACTCTGGCTCAGGCTGGTCTCGAACTTGTGAGACCAACCCTCCCAGGGTGCTAGGATTACAGGCATCAGCTACTGTACCCTTCCTAGAGACAAAGTCTTGATTTTGCTCAGGGTGGTCTTGAATTTATGAGTTCAGGCAATCCACTCACCTCAGCCTCCCAGACTGCTAGGATTACAGGTGTGAGCCACCTGACCCCGCTGTCGAGACCCCTTCTCTAAACCTAGCCAAGTGGCCAGGTGCGGTGCCTCACACCTGTAATCCGAGCACTCTGGGAGGCCAAGGTGGATGGACTGCATGAGCTCATGAGTTCAAGAACAGCCTGAGCTAGAGCAAAACCTTGTCTCTAAAACAATAGCCAAGAGTTGTGGCAGGCTCCTATATTCCCAGCTACTCCAGAGACTGAGGCAAGAGAATCTCTTGAGCCAAAGAGAGTCTGAGTTGCTGTGAGCTATGATGCAACAGCACTCTACTGAGAACCACAAAGTGAAACTCTGTCTCAGACCAAACAAACAAAAACATTGGGCTACAGTGTGGCAGATTAAGAGATGGGGGCAAGACTGGTGTTACAGAGAGAGATTCACAATTACTGCGTTATTCCAGACAGGAACTGGGGTTTGGGGTTAGAGAGGGGCAGAGGAGAGTGTAGTGTAATGTAGTAGAATGACTCCAAAGACACTCAAAGCCCAGGACTTGGGCAAGAGTACAGAAGGCTATGGTCTTAAGTGTTTGTGTTCCCCCAAATTTACATGTTGAAACCTAATCCCAATGCAACAATATAGAGGTGGGTCCTTGAAGGGGTGATTAGCTCACAAGGGCTTTGCCCTCAGTAATGGGAGTAGTGCCCTTAAAAGGAGCCTTGAGGGAGCCTGTTTGCCTGAGAGAACACAGCAAAAAGGCACTGTCTGAGTTCGAGCCCTCCTCACAGGCACCGAATATGCCAACACCCTAATATTGGATTTCCAGCCTCAGAACTGTGAACAATACATTTCTGTTGTTTATAAATTCCCAGTTTAAGATTATTTTGTTATAGCAGCACAGACAGACAAAGAGACCCCATCCCAGATCTGGAAAGCTGATATTGAGGCAGGAGAGATGGCAGTTTAGGGGTAGAGGAAGAAGCTAAATTCAGAGCAGTACACTGAGTTTGACAATTTATAGGGCACCAAAAGGAAATGTTGACAGGCCACTGGGTTAATGAGTCTGGAGCCCAGGAAGAGAGTTGCTACTGGAGAGACCCTAATTTGGGTGCCATCAGATGGCCTCATCCACTGGGAGGTGGACCCAAGGAGGAGCTGCAGCTGCCACCAGAGAAGCTGCTCTGAGCAGAGGGCCTGAGGTGGGGGGCGTTGTCCAGGGTGAGAATGTCCAGTGAG